ATATAGATATATTTGTGCGAATTCCCTACAGTTCACATTTTATGCACCCTTTTGCTTCTATCCTTTTGTGTTTTTATTTTCTTTTTGTAGTTTTTTTTTACCTTTTTAGTTCGATTAAACCTACACTTCAAGGTTAATTTGGTTGTTTACTCTTTTTCTTTGCTCTTATGTCTATTGTAGAGGAACTGCCATCAGATGAGGAGTTGACAGTTCAACCAGATCCTAAAGTTGTTGCAGATACTGTGAGAAGTGTAGATGTGGTGGAGTGTGAACGTTTAAAAAAGGATGGGAATGAATTATTCGGGAAAGGTTACGTGGAGGAAGCCCTGCAACTGTACCGTGAGGCCATTAAGGTAGCACCCATCAAACCACTGCGACAACAGAAGCAACGGAGACAAGGAGAAGAAGAAGAACATCAACAAGACACACCGGCTGCATCCTCAGGAATAGATTCCTCCCTTCCGAATAGCAGCAACAGTAAGAAAGATGATGAACAGGAGGAACTCGATAAGGCAGAGGATGATGGTGTAGATTATACCCTCACCTCACAGGTGTTCTGTAATGCTGGGTTGTGCTTGTCGAAACTTGAATTGTATGAGGAAGCTGTGGAAAACTTATCAGAAGCCATACGTCATAATAAACAGTATGTAAAGGCATATATTCGTCGTGCAGAGTGTTATTATGCTCTTGAAAAATGGTCTAACGCGTATGGTGACTATGAAGAGTATGAGAAACTTGGTGGCACATTAGACAGTGAAAGTCGATCACACAAGGCGAGTGCGAAGGCCAAGGTGGATGAGGAAATGCAGAAAATGCTGGGCGATTTAAAGAATTTAGGAAATCGTTTTCTGGGCTATTTTGGACTCTCTACTGACAATTTCAAATTTGATAAGGATCCCCAAACTGGAGGTTATTCAATGCGATTTGAGAATTCATGAGATTCGTAAGATGGTAATGTGTCATTTTTCTTTCTTTTTTTTTTTTTTTTTATTACGTTCCGGTTTTTCATTCCCTTTGGCGATGCTTTTTATTATTATTATTATTATTATTATTATTATTATTATTATTATTATTATTATTATTATTATTATTGATTCTC